GGGCTTGGCGCCCCCCCCACGACTTTTTTTTTTTAATCCCATCCAGTCCTTCACCTCCTGCTGCATCGGCTCCGCGGGCCACCGAACCACCACCAGCACCGCCAGTCACCCGCCAGCGCCGCACGCACCGGAGCTGGTGTTCCCGCCACGTCCTGTGCTCCACCACTCCCAGTCTGTACCTGCCACCTTGGGTCCCCATGCCTGGACCCCCACGCAGCCCCCCACGGAAGGGGTGGTGGCCACCACGGCAGCTGGCAGCCAGGACACCGAGTGGGGCAGCCCCACCTCCTTGGAAGGTCACCTGGGCTCCGTGGCCATCTTCTGTGAGGCTCTGCAGCAAGCCCAGGTCAAGGCACTGTTCTGTGCAGGTACATCAGGGTGGGACACAAGGGACATCTGCAGGGGTGCTGGTGGCTACCAGGGTCTCCCCCCACCATGCCTCAGCTCACCCCATTCCTCTTCCCCCAGGGCCAAATGTCACATCACCGTTTACGCTGGAAGGGGACCTGGCGGAGCTCAGCAGCAAGCTCCTGCTCTACTACACCCCACAGGTGAGAAGAGCCACCCCCTGGGGACAGGGGCAGCACTGGTGGACCCTCTGCTGTAGGTGACATCTCCAGGAGCATGAAGATGCTCCCATGTTGTTCTCTTCTAGGCCTGCAGGAACAACATCTGCCTGGACCTCTCTCCCAGCCACAGCTTGGACGGGAGGCTGACAGGACACAAGGTGGTCAACTGGGACATCAAGGTATGTTGGGTGCATATCCTGGCCCATCCACCCCATGGTGTGGAGGGCTGGACCCCTCCTGGGGCAGGGGCGGGACCCCCAAGGGGTGTTGGGTGGCCATGGTGGTTCCCCTGGACCCTACAGGGACTCTGCTACATCATATTGGGTCTGCCGAGGGTCTGCATGCCCCATTGGTCTTCCAAGTATCAGCCTGACCCACAGGTCCATCAAGGACCTATCTGTAGGTCCTCAGCATCCAGGGTGGGCACCATGGGTGGTGCTTTTTGGGGACCTCTTTAAGTTTGTGCTGTAGGGTCAGGTCGGGGTGCAGCCCAGTCTTTGCTGGCCACAGGGCCTGGCTCTCCCCAGCTTGGGCTGAGCCCATGAGCAGGCAGGATGGACCTCAGGTGTGCATGGAACCTCCTCCCCTGTGCTGCTGTCACCACACAGCACCCAGCAAAGCCTCTCACCTCCTTCTGGCAGGACGTGGTCAACTGCGTGGGTGGGATGGGCGTGTTGCTGCCCCTGCTGGAGCAAGTGGTGTCCAAGAAGGAGGAACCTGAGGATGAGCAGGACACCAACGACCTGGTGGGGCCGGAGCTGACGTCCTCCAGGAACGCCCAGGGCATGCTCATCCCGCTGGGCAGGTCCTCAGGTGAGGATCTCGGGGGGCTTGGAGCAGGAGCCATCCTGCTGGGGTGGCTGGAGGTGACCCCACTGCCACGTGGGTGCTGCCAGGAGCAGGCTGGTGTCTGCCATGGACGTCAGAGGTCTTGCCTGGGGCACCAAGATCTGTGGGGTGATGAGAAACCTCTTTTCATGTTTTTATGACCCAATTAGTCATAAAGAAGTAGTTCTGGGAAGACAAGGGTGGCTCCAGCCTCCAGCTTGCCTTGCTGTGGAGTCTCTGGTGTCTTAGAGTAGGGCTGGGTTGATACAGGAGCCTTCTGCATAGATGAATGGGGTTTTCTCCTGACACCCAGCTGCTTAACTCAGGGCCAGGGAGATTTCCACTCACTTCAGCCTGTGGGCAGTGAGGGGAAGTGGGGCTGAGAGGTTTGCAGAGGAAAGTTTCTGGCGGGGTCTCCAGGATTGCCCCTGGAAGGTGCTGGCAGCTCCCGGCAGGGCTCTGCCCTGTGCCTGGCAGAGAGCAGGCTGGAGAGGAACAGTGTGGCCGCCTTCCTGCTGCTGGTGAAGAACTTCATCCAGAACCACCCAGTGAACCAGGAGAGCCTGGTGCAGTGCCACGGGCCGGCCATCATGGGGGCACTGCTGCAGAAGGTACGGGGGCTACCAAGGGTTCCACCTCCCACGGTCCTCGAGGCTGTTCCGCAAGGGGCACGCCAAGGGCTGCAAACCTCTTCTCTCCCCCGTGGCAGGTCTCCAGCCCACTGCTGGACATGAGCACGCTGATGGCCTCGCAGGTCCTGATGGAGCAGGTGGCCTCCGAGGGCAGCGGGCTCCTGCTGCACCTCCTCTACCAGCACCTCCTCTTCGACTTCCGCATCTGGAGCAACAGCGACTTCGCCGTCCGCTTAGGTGGGAGCTGGGGGTGCCTGGGGGATGTTCTCCATCCCAGCTGGGCCTCCGCAACCGCTCAAGACCTTCTCCTCCCAGGTCACATCCAGTACCTGGCCAACGTGGTCAAGGACCACAAGCAGCGGATCCGCAAGAAGTACGGGGTGCAGTACGTCCTGGACTCCATCCGCGCCTTCTACGGGTGAGCTGCCACTTGCAGCCTGGACCTCTGAGCTCCCACCTGCTGCTGGTGGGCTTGGCCCCTCAGAGCTCTGTATTGGGGTAGACACCTTTTGCCTGGGGCAATATCCCCACTGCAAGCACCTCGTGGGGTGATCTTCTGGTGTTGGGAGCATGGTGGTGGGGGTAGGACCTTCTGCTCCCTTTGTCCTTGCCCCATCCTCAAACTTCCACCCAGAGCAGGGACCAGTCAGCCCCAAAACCCACCCCCAGCATCTCCTCAGCTGCAGATCATGGTGGTTTCTGCACCTGCTGAAATCCTTTCCTTGTCTGACCTGATGTGTTGTCACACTCCCCTGACACTAGAGGTGCTTGCACCCTGCAGAGGCATTTCCCATTGGACAGGGTTGGCCAGAAGGGTTGTCCACACTGAGCTGCTCCTCAGCCGATGGGATTTGGGATCATACTGGCAATGGGTAACAAAGGACAGGAGGGCAGCTGTGCACGTCCCCTGCAGGAATACCCACGTGAGTTTGTCCCTCAGCACCACCAGGGAGAAGACCACAGCCACGGATGACATCAAGACAGTGCAGACATCCCTCTTCAGCCTGGTGAAGGATTTCTTCTGCAGGAGCTTCTCTGGAGAGGAGATGCACAGCTTGCTGAACTACGTGGCCGGGGCGCAGGACGAGCAGCAGGTGTTGTCACCAAGCCACCCATGTCCCCAAACACCTCAGCAGTCCATGGGCTGTCACGGTGCTTGGCAGCAGGTGCAGAGAAGCTGCTGAGACCCCTGGTGAGGCACGTGGACAACCAGCCCTGTGTCCCACAGGTCTGCGGGGCGCTGGAGGTGATCCACAGCCTGCTGAAGGGCTCACCAGCCCAGGAGCAGCTCTTTGCCTTCCTCTTTGAGCCAGGCCACGTGGAGGTCCTCTTCTCACTGCTGGTGCAGAAGAAGTTCTCCGATGAAGTGCGGGAGAGGGTCTTCAAGGTAAGGCGAGTCCCCAGCACCGACCTCGTGCCATCCCCAGTGGCCAGGGACTTTGCCACAGCAGGGTGGCCACCCCTCTCTGCCTCGCCAGGTCCTCTACAAGATGCTGAAGTATGAGAAGATCCCCGAGCGCAGCAAGAACCGCCTGAAGCTGAAGGACATTGGGTACCAGGGGCTCATTGCCTGCCTCGGTGATGTCCCTGGCTCCATGCTGCTCTTCCGCTGCCTCTCGGAGCAGGTCCTTGGAGCAGGTACCACCTGCCCTGCCCAAACCAGGCTGGTCCTGGCCGCCCATCCCAAGCACGTGCCATGAGTTCATCGGTGGTGGCTTCCCACGAGGCCCAGGCAGTCTTGGGACTTGGGGGTGCTTGGTGGCTTTGAGAGAGAGGAGGAAGTATCCCATCATTGTATTGTCTCTCCTTGTCCATAGACCCTCCCAGCTACAAGGACCTGGTGGCTGTGGTTTACCTGTCCCACCGGGCCGAGCTGACCGTCCGGCTCGATATCTGCCGCAAGGTGAGCGGGGCCTGTGACCAAGGGGTCACCCCAGTGAGGAGCTCCTTGGGCACCCAACCATGCCTGAATGCACGGGGATGGTGGTAACACCCCATGCGTGGGGCTGCTGGCACGTGGACATGCCAGCATAGAGGTGGTGCAGCACCCAATGGCAGTTATGGGAGGTGCAAGATCTCAGGACCGTTGGCAGCCAACCCGACCATCCTGCCCCTTGGAAGGACCAAGCCTCCAAGAAGTGGCCAGGAGCTGGGACAGCATCGTCAGGTCCCCCCCACCTGCTCTTTCTTGCAGCTCTTCCACTTGATCTACGCTCAGCAGGACATGGTGAAGCAGCTGGCCAGGCTGGCTGGCTGGCAGGACACACTCACCAAGCTCTACGTCAAGGAGTCCTACGAGTTCCGCCAGCACAGCCTGAGCAACGCGAGCAACGTGGGCTGCCTGGAGCTCCTGTGCTTCTCAGACCCCCCCAGCAAAGAGGGGATGAGCTCTCCACCAGCTGAGCTGCAGGAGCTGGATGTCTTCCTGCCTCTGGGCTATGAAGCCTCTGACCAAGAGCTCTCTGAAGGCTTCTCTGACCACTCCATCCCCCCAGGCGGCCGCACCAAGTCCTTCCACTCCTACAACTTCAAGTCGTTTGACTCCTCTGACCGGGCCAGCCGCTCGTCCTCCAACCCTGGTGATGGTCCTCCCTTTGATGGTGTCTACCACCCACTCTCACCCTTCTCCACTTCACCCTTTGACCTGGGACTTGACCTGGCCAGCACCAGCTCCATTGCCACGGCCGAGAGCGGCGCGCAGACCCCCGCCAGCGGCCCTGGCACCCCCTCACCCCTGGAGAGCTTCAAGCCTTTCCCAGGAATGCGGGCACGCAAGAGCTCCAGCCTCTCCAATGTCCTGGATGAGAGCAGCTACCAGGACACGCTGCCCAGCGACAACGTTTCCAACACCAGCAACCCCCAGGTGAGCCCCAAACCATCGTGCCCCCCACCCCGGGCTACAGTGCACCCTGAAGCTCTTCACCCGCCCTTTCTGTTGGCAGCAAACCCCTGAGGAGGAGCTGTGCAACCTCTTGACCAACATCATCTTCTCGGTGACCTGGCGTGGGGTGGAGGGCTGGGATGACACAGCATGGAGGGAACGTGGGCAGGTCTTCTCCGTCCTCACCAAGCTGGGGACGGCGTGCGAGCTGGTGCGGCCCCCCGATGAGATCAAGCGCAGGTGAGTCCTGCCCAGCTTCCAGGTGGGTGCATCCCAAGGGAAGACCACCCTATGGAGACACCTGCTCTCCCACAGCCTGCTGGAGATGATGCTGGAGTCAGCACTGACAGACCTGAAGGAGTCGGGACCGGCCGCCCTGCCCGGGCTCACCCACAACGCCCTCAAGCTGCTGCGGCTCCTCCAGGACTTCTTGTTCTCTGAGGGACACAACAACCAGGCCCTGTGGAGTGAGAAGGTGGATGGGCATGGGCAGGGGGTCCTGAACCTGAGCTCTCAACCCTAACACTGACTCCTCAACCCTAACACTGACTCCTAACCCTGCCCCTCCCTGCAGCCCTTGAACCCTTAGAAAGCGACCTGTGCCTTAATCCTAAACTCTGTCCCTGACCCACAACCACTAAACCCAGCCCTAACCCTGACCCATAACCACTAAACCCAGCCCTAACCCTGACCCGTAACCAGTAAATCCAGCCCTAACCCTGACTCTACACTGTTAGCATAAACTCCTCTTTGGTCAGGCCTGATGGGGCTTGGAGCAACCTGGCCTAGTTGGAGATGTCCCTGCTCACTGCAGGAGGTTGGACTAGATGACCTTTAGAGGTCCCATCCAACCCAACATATCCAGTGATGCAAGTCTGTCTTGGGGGTTATGAGTTGAGGTCCTACTCTACACCCAAACCCATGTCAAGCAAAGCCCCCAGGGTGGCTGGGCAATGGGGACAGACCTGGTGGCTTTCCACCCAGCCAGCCAGCGAGGTGAGGGCGTGTGGGGCTGGGCAGGGGGCTCACTGTGCCCCCCACCCCTCCAGATCTATGAGGGGGTGAGCAGTCTGCTGGACAAGCTAGGCGTCTGGTACCACCTGGCCAACGGCACCTCTGACCTCAAGGAGATGGCCCAGACAGGTCTGCGCATCCTGGTGGGCTACATCATGCTGCAGGACCCCCAGGTGGGGCAGCCCTTCCTGGGGCTCTGGGCTGGGGACCCACAGCCCTTGGGGCCGGGCAGGTGGCCCCATCTCACGTCCTGTGTCCCCTTCCCAGCTGCACTCCCTGGCCTACGTGAAGCTCCACAGCCTGCTGCAGACCTCCTCAGCCCCCAGGAAAGATGAGGCTTGCTACCTGCTGGGCAAGCTGGAGACCCCACTGCGGCGCTCGCTGGATGCCAAGTCTGAGACCTTCTCCTGGTTGGTGCCCATCGTCAGGACACTGATGGACCAGTGCTACGAGACCCTGCAGCTGCAGCTCTTCCTGCCCTCGCTGCCCCCCACCAACGGCAGCCCCACCTTCTACGAGGACTTCCAGCTCTTCTGCACCACCCCAGAGTGGAGGACGTTCATCGAGAAGCACGTGGGTGCTGCAGGGCAAAGGGGTGGCATCACCACTGGGGGAACCTCTTCCTAGGCTTAGAGATGGGTCCGTGCTGTGGCTGAGTCCCCCCGTTGTCACCACTGGGTTGGGACAGCGAGGGTGACCTCCAGGGGGTTAGATGCTCATAGCCTGGTGGGTGCCAAGCCCTGCGAATGTGTCCTCCTCTCATCCTGGTTCTCTCGGTAGGTGCAGCCCACCATGGCCCAGTTTGAGGTGGACACCTTTGGCAAGAGCCACGACCACATGTCCAACTTCTGGAACGCCTGCTATGATGCCATGATGAGCAGCTCCCAGCGGCGGGAGCAGGAGAAGGCAGCCAGCAGGAAGATGTTCCAGGTACTGCCTGGGTTGTCCCCCTGGGGATGTGCTGCCTCATCCCAAGGGCGTGCTCCTCACCCCAGGGATGTGACCCTTGCTCTGGGGATGTCATCCTAGGGACATGCTCCTTTCCCTGAGGACGTTAATCCTGGGGATTTGCTGCTCATCCCAGGGAGGTCATCCTGGGGTTGGCCTCCTCACCCTGAGGTTGTCATTCTAGGGACATGCTCCTTACTCCAGGAACATGATCCTCACTCTGGGATCATTAATCCTGGAGATTTGTTCTTCATCTTGGGGATGTCATTCTGGAGACATCCTCCTGACCATGGGAGCATTGCCCTCAGGATGTGGACATCATCCCAACGATGTACTTGTCATCCGAGGGATGTCTTCCTCCTCACCCTGGGAACATGCTCTTCATCCCAGGGATGTCACTCTGGGGAGATCCTTGTCATTTTGAGGACATTATCCTCAGAATGTGGTCCTCATTCTGGGGACATTATTATAGGGATGTGTTCTTCATCCTGGGGACGTTGTTCTAGAGACATGCTCCTCATCCCAAGAACATCATCCCAGGGATACACTCCTTACGCTGGGGACAAACTCCTCCTGCTGGAGACACCATCATGGGGCAGTTTCCCTTCCCCTGGGGATATCACCCCATGGGCGTGCTCCTCAGCTGAGGGGCACCCCCGAGGCCTGATGGAACTCCACTTTCCCTGGGCAGGAGCTGGTCCTGGAGCCGGCAGCCAAGCGCGCCAAGGCGGAGAACGCCCGGCACGCCAACGTGCTCAAGCAGGCCAACAACCACCACAGCACCGTGCTGAAGCAGTGGAGGTCCCTCTGCCGCCTCCTCACCTCCCCACGCTCCGCCTGGGCTGACCAGTGAGTCCCCACCTGGGTCCCCAGGGAAAGGGGTGGCACATCTGGGGGTCCCCAGAGTGCCTCAGCCCAGCCTGCCCTCCAGGAACCCGCCGGAGGTTCGCTGGAAGCTGTCGAGCGCCGAGACCTACTCCCGGATGAGGCTCAAGTTGGTGCCCAACGTGAATTTTGACCAACACTTGGAGGCCAGTGCCCTACGGGACAACCTGGGTGAGGCCGATGGGAGGGGGACACCCAGGGGTCCCCCCCCCTGCTGTGGGTGGGTGGGGGTGTCTGCTGACCCCCTCCTCATTTCAGGAGCTGACCATCTCCACAACCCCGCTGAGTCCCTCCCACTCGCCATGGCCAAGGAGGCCAAGGTGAGCGAGTTGGAGGATGACCAACTGGCCGAGGAGGACCTCCCTGTCCTGGACAACCAGTGAGTGTCCCCAGCCCTTGCCATGGCACACTCTCTCCCAGGCTGTGGGTGTCCCTGGGGTCTCCTTACCCCCGGTGTCACCTAGGGCTGAACCCAAGGAGCAGAACCAGCGAGAGAAGCTGGTGGTATCCGAGGACTGTGAGCTCATCACCACGGTGGCTGTCATTCCGGGCCGCCTGGAGGTGACAACCCAGCACATCTACTTCTATGATGGCAGCAGCGAGAAGGAGGAGACAGAAGGAGGTAACAACACATTGGGGGGGTCCCTGCAGCAAGTCGGGGTGAGGAACCCCCCAACCACCCCATCTCCTCCAGAAGCCCATCGCGTTGGGTGCTGGTTGTTTGGAGGGTGGGCTCCTCCCAGCCCTAGGGCGATGTTGGCCCCGTCCCTGCCTCAGGTGTCCAGCTGGATGGTGACACCCGTGGGTCTCTGTGCCCACCCCACAAACCCTCCTCTCGGCAGGGATCGGCTACGACTTCAAGCGCCCCTTGTCCCACCTGCGCGAGGTCCATCTGCGCCGCTACAACCTGCGCCGCTCCGCCCTCGAGCTCTTCTTCATCGACCAGGCCAACTACTTCCTCAACTTCAAAAAAAAGGTGCTGACACCCCTTCCTTCCTTCCCCCACCCAAACCCCTCCCCGGGACCGCAACGCTGCCCAGGTTCCAGCCGTTCCACGCCCTGCCCGTGTCCCACCAGGTGAGGAACAAGGTGTACTCCTGCATCCTTGGCCTGCATCCCCCCAACCAGATCTACTTCGGCAGGCGGTCGCCACGGGCGCTGCTGAAAGCCTCAGGGCTCACCCAGGTACCAGCCCCACCTTGCCCACCCCCTTCCTGCATGGCAAAGGGGAGGGTGCCAGCGTGGGATGGAGATGGCCATGGGTTGGCGTTGGCCATGGGACCAGGGATGGCCATAGGGTGAGCATGGCCATAGGACTCCAGGTGGCCACAGGACCAAGGACAGCCATGGAGTGGGGATAACCGTGGGACCAGGGATGGTTGGAGACCAGGGATGGCCATGGGACCAGGGATAGTCATGGGCTGGAGATGGTCATGGAACCAGGGATGGCCATTGGATGAGAATAGCCATGGGATCCAAGATGGCTATGGAACCAGGGACAGCCATGCAGTGAGGACAGCCAGGTGACCAGGCATCATCTGAGACCAGGAATGACCACGGACCAGGGATGGCCACAGCACCAGAGTTGGCTGCATGATGGAGATGGCCACAGGACCAGGGATGGCTGTGGGATTGGGGTGGCCTTGGGACCAGGGATGGCTGTGGGACCAGAGGTGGCCATGGCACCAGGGACAACCACAGGAACAGGGACGTCTGTGAAAACAGGGATGGTCTTGGATGGCCACAGGTGGGGGTGTCTGGCCCATCTCCTACCCCCTGGCCCATCTCAGCCACCCTCCCTTCTCTCCAGAAATGGGTCCTGAGGGAGATCTCCAACTTCGAGTACCTGATGCAGCTGAACACCATCGCGGGGCGCACCTACAACGACCTCTCCCAGTACCCCGTGGTGAGCCCCATCTCCCCACCACCGTCCCCCAGCCAGCCTGTGCCCACCCTCAGCCTCACCCCCCCCCCGCCCCCACCCCGTTTCCCTGGATCCTGCGGGATTACG